ACCCAAAAAACGAGAAGCAAACACAGCAATCGAAGCTCCACTCTGGCTAATTGACAATCGAACATCGGAACCGAGCACACTTCATGCACGAGTACAAAACAAAATTGAAACCTCCCATCTCTACAGGAACCTATATTTTTTGTTGGGATAATTGGTGGAAGCCCCCACATGGAAACCTTTCTGGCTTTGCGTTCCCAAACTTAAACGACCAGTACTTGGCCCGACTATGGGCCGTGGGAAAAAACAGAGTAGAAACGTTTCAGGTTGGATGAATTTGGGCGCTCCTGTAGTGGCCCGTACGTTTCCTAAAATCGTGGCTTGTTAACGGGCACGGCTTTAGGAAGTACTGGTGTTTTAACCCATTTGCCAAAAAGGACCTTCGGGCAACAGATGCAATGTGAAAATCTGAAGGCCGAGACTGGGTCCCGACTCCCGAAGGCTGACGCTGTATTTGCATGGCCCCTTCCTACCGGATCATGAACCTGGCCCTGTATTTGCACCAGACTTATTTTCCGGTAAGATCATGAACCTGGCTCTGTATTTGCAGCAGAACCGTTTTCTGGTAGGCTTTTCTTGCCAAACAGAAAGGTTCCGGGGGAAAACAAAAAAGCATTTTGTGGGTGCTTCCCACCAATTGTCCCTATTCAGAGCGCATGTATGTATCCATAATGTTGTCCAAAAGGGAGTCAAAGGTCGTAGTGCATGTATGCCCTGATTGTCAAAATCTGACAGCGGTCGATTAGGCAAAAACAAAAAAACAAACGAGTAGCCCCTAGACAGGAAAGGTTTAGGAGAACAATATCAAAAGGCTTCTCGTGGGCGCTTTCCACCAATTGTCCCTATTCAGAGCGCATTTATGTATCCATAACGTTGTCCAAAGGGAGTCAAAGTCGTAGTGCAAGTACGCCCTGATTGTCAAAATTTGACAGCGGTCGATTAGGCAAAAAAATAAAAAGAAAAACGAGTATGCCCTGATTGTCAAAATTTGACTCTCGTCGGCGGTCCGTCGATTAGGCAAACAAAGAAAAACCTTACACCCAACGGTGGTAACCGCAGACCAACGGGCCATACCAGTCAATTCATGACCAGACCCATGGAAAGACACATTTGTCAGGCGCAATGGACACTGTGTGCACAGAACCTGGCTTCAATCACGCTCAGATACATCTGTGGTCAGCTTTATACGAACTTCACCAAAAGAGTCACAAGCGGACAAGAGTCCTTAAAGGGTTTGCTTCGAGCCAGGAACTTATTTTTGTTCTTGGCATTGTTGTAAGGTTGCAGTGGGGGCAGACGGGAAGAAGGGGCGGGGTGTGAGGAGGGGTTGTCTGGAGTTGTTGTGGAGAAGGGAGGGGGACATCTAGTGTACCAGGTCTTGCAGCGCCGTGTTGTAACCCTGCGGACTCGGCTTTGCAGCCCCAGGCGCCGTATCCTCTCTAGTGTACCTGGAAGCCAATACCAAAATTAAAAAATGGCAGAAACCGTCAGAATGAAGCACACAAGTACACCAACTTGCGTTGCGTTCGATGTCGGATTTGTTTTCCCCTTTGTTGTGTCGGAATTATAACCTCCGCCAAATTTCAACAACGGCGTACCATCATGATGGTATTTTGTCAGATACATGCTATTTCGTCAGATACATGCTATTTGTCACATACACGTATTTTGTCAGATAAATGTCTTTTGTCAGATACACGTATTTTACTATTTTGTCAGATACACGTATTTTACTATTTTGTCAGATACACGTATTTTACTATTTTGTCAGATACATGTCTTTTGTCAGGTACATGCTATTTTGTCAGATACAAGTATTTTGTCAAATACCCAGAATTTTCAGATATATGCTATTTTGTCTACTACATATTTCGTAAAACATACAAGTTTCTTGGTTCCTAAAGAGTTCCTACTATTTTGTCCGATAATGGCTTCGCTATCGAATGCAATACATACTAAATAGTAAATACCATATAGTTCACTGTTTCTGCTATAAGTACGTGCTATTCCGCAAAATAAGCATAGTTTTCCTTGCACGCTCGATCATAGTACGCTTCTTTTTGCTTTTCTGCTATGTTTTGTAAAGAACATGCTATTCTCCAATAGACGCCTGCTTTTCTTTCTTTCCGCCCTATCTATTCGACAGCAACCTTTCCTGGCCTACTTCCTCTCAAAATGTACACATTGTACAGTGGTTACAAAACAAAAAAGAAAAAAGAAAAGAAACAAACGAAAAAGAACAAGAATAAGAAGAAAGAGAAACACATTGGAAGTAAGAACACCGGAAGAACATATGAATTCTTCTCTCCTTTTTCTCCGGTTGTTTAGCTATCTTACTCATCTATTTCCATCTGGATTCGATCTGTGCTGCGACACTGCGGCAGTGTACCAACTTGGCTAGGCCTGTTGGTCGCTCTCTAACTTTTGCTATGAAGCAACAACTGGGCTACATTACCCTACGTAGGCCTGATGATCTGTTGGTCGCTCTCCAGCTTCGGCTACAGAAGGTGCCGCTGTTTATTTCACGCGTCATTCCAAAATCAATCCACCACGGACACCAACGTTATCGCTCGTACACTCGTTGACTGTTGAAATGCACTCCGGAGTTCGAATCCAGATGGAGCAAGATGGAACCAGATGGAACAAGATGGAACCAGATGGAACAAGATGGAACCAGATGAACGAGATTCTTGCAATACCTAGGGCCGGTCAGTTTCACGATAATATCTAAACTTATCTCAAGGTGTCGCCCTTTTCAAAATACAAAAAGGAAGAGAAAAGACAAAACAAAAGCGGGAAGAGAAAAAACAAAACAAAAGCGGGGTGGGTATGGAAGAGGGAGAAAAGAAAGAAAAAGCAAGAGAAAAAACAAGAAAAAGTCCGGGGGGGGGGAGAAGACAGAAGACGGGAAGAAAAAAGAAAAGAGAGAACAGTGATCCCTGGATGTCGGACGATTATCTTCCCCCCCCTCTGGGGTCCCCTCACCATCTCTGTGGTGGTATCAGCTTCAGAATAGGAAGGCGGGAACGAGCGATGTCCACTTCCTGCACCGTTGATCTTGTCACGACACCGAATTTTCGCCCCTCCCTCGCGAGCCGCTGGATAAGATCGCTGGCAGCTGGCTTCAGCAATAGCTGCTCTGCAAGTTCAGCGGCCAAAACGAAATCGCAAAGAATCAAAGAAAACATCAATTAAAAAAAAAAAAACAGAAAAGAAAAAAAACACAAAACAGAAGAGAAAACAACAACAACACAGACTGCTCATCAGGAGGCGACCCCAATACAAGTCCTAAAAAGAAACGTCAATGACCAAATCAGATCTTGTCCACCCCTTCTTCTATCGAAGGGCTACTAATAAATTGCAAGACCCCAATTCTGGAATATTAATCGAGGAAAATGGAAACGGAATCATGGCCGAAATTGCTCATCAACGCAATCGAAGGAAAGTACTTGTTGACCGACGGGCCTAGCTGAGTTGGAACATCCATGAACTCTTGAATTACAGATAAAAGATCGAATCCACAGATAAAAGATCGAATCCAGACGCAATCAGATGTTACAGAATAAAATAAATCTGAATTACCTGCGCCGGTCAGAGCTCAATGATGATACCTCAAAGCTGTCGAAAGAGAAACGACGAAAGTACTTCTACAATCGCATACAAGCGTGCAATCTGTGCTCATTCCGACTATCAGCTCCAAGGTCTTCATGTTTATAGCAATTCTGCACTACATTTCTTTGTCTGGATTTTTTTTTTTTTTTTTTTTTTTTTTTTTTTTTTTTT